ATGGGTCCTATACCTTACTGGAACATCACGCTACGAGAGGTTAGAATCATTATTGCTACAAAAATTTCTGTCGATTTGTTTAGTGCTGACACGTGTGGAGAACCGCATAGGCTTATTACAGCTTCAATAAATATTTTTACTTTTGAGGGTACATTCACTATACAGCGAGATGACATCGTGGACGATTCCAACGAGAAATGCAGCCGTTTTCCCATCGCTGTTGATTCTGGTCAGTACTCTTTAGGCGTGAATGGCGAGACCATTTGCCTTAAATGTGACGAACAAATGGAGGGAGCTAACTGGAGGGTCACGTTACGAAAGTTTGGGGGGAGGGGGAAAGACCTCGATTCAGGCTCGATAGAACACGATGAGCTCCCACTTTCCTTAATCTATCGAAGTGGGTAAAAGGCAGACTTTGAGGATTGACGAAGATGTTAACTCATTAATCCCTAAGCATGAACGGCGTCCGTCGCAGCTCGAAAGTGCCAGGAACGGGCTGCAGCGCATACTTAGCGCCTATACTACCCGTGCAGTGCATTGCCCCATATCTCTTGACGGAGTGAGACTGCTGGAGGCGCGTCCTTGTCAGTGTTATTGTGAAAGGCTTGCGAGAGGGGTGAGCCACGTCAGGTTGACTCACCAGGCCCTGTGCGAACCAAAGACCTTGGCGGTGAACTGCCCGCCCTAGCAAGCGTACCACTGTATGAGCTTCTCTGATGGCTCTCTTTCTCGCGTTCTCCAGTGTGTAGCGTCATGCAGCTGATCTTGACCATCTCATGCTTATGCTTTTCTGATCGTGGTCAACTGCGTGAAAGAGGAAGTCATTGAGACGGATTTTTCTTTAATTCCTTCACTAGCAGTCAGCTTGTCCTAGTACCGTTGTGTGTTGAAACCCAGCTACCACGCGATAGGCTGTGCTCCTCGAAAGTTCCTAGTTCGCTTGCTAATCCTACGGCTGTCACGAGCACTTGAGAACGCGTTTATCGTTTTTCTTTAGTTTTTTTTCCCAATGTTCGGAGCAAATATCATACGCGATGTTTTACTGTCCTGTCACGTTCGTTAGAATTTTGGTGTTTTCCCCTGGAAATTGCGTGTCGAAGTCACAAGACAAAATGATTGTTATCTCACACGCCGCCTCGAAGACAGGTGGCCCATATCCATCCCTTACTCTTCTTCCAACCTTTGATCTGCGCCTTTGCGAAGTCCGCTGCTGTTGTTGCACGTCACCATTTTCTCCTATACAAATCTTTTTCGGATGAGGGGGGGCGGGGGAGGCGGGCAATGCGGGAGGATCGAATTCACTGGCGTCTCGAACTCCAGTGAGATCCTTGATGGCATCCTTTCATCGCCTTTGATGGCTCCTCGTGGTCGCTTATTCCCATTCGCTGGATACAGCACTGACGCCATCACAGAATATTACCATATCCTACCGGCACAAGGCTAACTACTGTTCGAAAATTAATTTTTTTTTCAGGAAAGCGCATATTTGCGCGTCTGCGCGACGATCACTCATTAGTCGTCTACGATCCCAATACGAGGAAATGGTCACCGTACTTCCTCTCTCCAGAATCACATCTAAATGTAATTCTATTGACCACCCATACATACGCGAAGCTTCAAAGAATCCTAGTTTTCCTTTTTAGTTGGACTCGCTGAACATACGAGGTCTTCATGAAACATTTGGACGAGCCGGTCATCGAATGGGTGCTATCGAATCTCCGCTTTCTGTCTATTCAGACGGGCCTGTGGTCGTCGCGAGGATAAAGCGTCATCAGAAGCACTTCTTCTATAGGGTCACTTTCGGTAGGTATAACCATCAAAGCATGAGAATAGTCTTCATAAATCGTAGGCTAAGGTTCACGATTGGACTGCTGTCCTAACTGGAGGAAGACCCGCCTAACCTTTCCGACTAGTTTACAACTAGTTAGGTTCAATATGAAGAAAGGCAGTGCTCCTTCCGGATCCTGCTATCCAGAAAACAGTCTGGAATTGCTAACTACTTGAGCCTATCACATGAAACATATTATTGCACGAGAACAACCAAAAGAAAAAGCCTACGGTTCGAAGATGATGCCCGTGGCCGATCTCGATTTAAGGTTTTTGATACTTCTGTGTTGTTATATGATTTCCAACTTCTCTCCACATAAAAGCTCGGCATTATTATAAACTTTGCTCTTGCAGTTTTTTTTTTCGTTTAAAAGAAAGGTGCGCTTAGGTGAAACCTTTTTTAGTAAACTTGACTCTACTTGCCGTTAGCAGAACATGTGAGTGTAGCGCGACCGTTCCGCAGTGAAGCGGAGAACTCGAATCTTTTATTAGGTTGTCCGGAAAGTTCTCAGCGTTTTGTGTTACTATTTTTTGTACATTCATTGCTGATTAAAACTCATTCTCCCTTGCGTCTCAGTAGTACATCCTGAAGAGAATTTTTTGCGCTATCTGATGGTATAATTGCCGTTTCACCATTGCTTGATAAACCCCCTTTTCCCCAAGACTTTTTGAAGCATGTCAAGAGCAACTTCGGACGATATTTTTCAACTACAAATTGGGTCAATCCGCAGTCGAGACAGCTCGACAAATTAACCAGGTGTGGGGGCCCAATAGTGTTGGAGAAAGCACCGTGCGACAATGGTTCGACAAATTTCGTTCTGGAGATTTCAGCCTTGAACCTCATAGCGGTCGACCTAAAGCAATATCTGACGAGGATTTTAAGGGGATTTTGGAGGCTGACCCATCCCAAACAGTTCGAGAGATTGCAGAAAAGCTAGGCGTTGGCAAATCCACTGTTGCGGATGGTCTGAAACGCATTGGGAAGGTGAAAAAAAAACTCGACAAGTGGGTGCCCCACAATTTGAGTGAGGCAGCGTTCAGACTTGTAGCGCTACAACTGTAGCGCTAC